TAGAAAAAACTAACTCAACTCATAAAGGTGAGATGATAGATATATCACAATCATCTAAAATACTTTGAATCATTTTGAATATAATAACTACTTGAATATAATACTAATTACTTCAAACAGTATCATTAATATAAAATGAAATAAAATACTAATAAAAATTCAGTACATGTTACGAATATTGATATTTATATAAAAATCATATTTTTATGATAATTTCAATTTTCTTTAATATTTTATATCAAAGACAACGTTTCTAAATCTAAACAATCTAGTTTCTAAAACTAAAACAATCGAAAAGCTTGTAAGATTGAATGTTATAAAATCCTATTGAAACTTCGGAAGCGTTTAAGACATTGAAAACGATGAAGACTTGTACAACTTTCGAAGCAATCAAAATCTTCAAAACTTTAAAGAATCAAAACTTATCGCGACTTTAAAAATTTTAAGTTTCGAGTCACGTTTAAATGTTGTGCTATACATTAATAAATATTATACATTTAGTAATTTCATTAAAAGCGTAATATTTTTGCTACATTTCGACAGTAAAGATTGACGAACGTTTCTCAACTGTTAGTTTCAAAGTTTTATATTTTCAATTTTTAATAAATAGCTAATCTGTATATATCAATCATTCTAAAATTTCAATAATGATGACATATTTATGTAAAATTACCCTGTAGAGTCTTCAACCATTTAGTTACTATATTAGATATTCTTTTCGTCAATATTTTTTCATTAACTGTATATGTTAAGATTAAATGAAAAAGATTCAAGTTGTATTTTATGTTACAATAATTTATGTGTTCAAATACTCATGCATGTGTATATATAAATTTGAAGCAATTCGTTGTATCCTAAATTCCATTATCACTGTATGAATCGCGCATTGTTGATCGAATTAGGTAATTCGATTTTCATGTAATTTTTGAGTGTTTTATATTTGAAAATACATTTGCTGCAGGAACAGTTGCACGAATGAAGTTCTCATTTTATTTAATAATTTTTTACGGCTAAAATTTGAAGACAAGAAATGAACAAATAAGTATGAACGAATTGTATTGATTACATAAAATCTTTAACTTGCACAATTATATATATTTTCGTTCTTAATTTTCAACATATATTTATTTAACATGACATTTATATAAGTCTTACTTAATTATAAGTGATATTGAAAATAAAAATTGAATAAACAAAATTACATTCGTGTAACATGAATATTATTTCTACTTATAGTAAGACAACTATATTGATGTGAACAAATGTCAGATTTATAATAGAAGAAATATGGTAGACGACATGTTTAATATGAATTAAAATTAATAAAAATAATTGGAAAAGTATAGATTTCAATTACTTTAACAGTTTTTAACTTTTCGTAATTTTGGAAATATCAGAGCTCTTCAAAATCTCTCTCTTACTTAATTAAAGCCAAATAAACGGCCAAAATTTTGAAAAAAAATGTTCGACTCAATTTTTGATGAGCCCCTTTGTCATTCGCAACTATATTTAATTTTCTGTCTTACCGACAGTAAAACGAAGATCGGCGAACAATCCTACACATAAACTGGTAGATGACTCAAAAGGATATTTCCGAGTGTCCACTTGGATCATTCACCATGTCCCTCGAGACAGGGAAGCAAAATTGATTAATAACCAAGTAAAAATCGACGAAGATAGCTTGTAAATATTACACAATATTCG